CCAGGAGTCTTTTGAGCCATACCAAGGGGTGTGATCAAAAAGTAGAGTCAATATTTTAAATTTTTTAAAATTTATTACAGTGAAAGACACATTGCCATTAATTCTCCTCAGAATATCCCCCTAACTTTGAACACCCTTATCTTGTTATTCTTACCACTTTCTGAAGCAGTTCTGGAAGTTCTCTTTTGCAAGTGTCTTTAGTCATGCTGTCATGGCTGCCTCAGTATCCTGAATTGATTCAAAACATTTATCTTTCATAGTCACTGTAATTTAGAGGAAGCTAGACGTCACATGGTTCCAGAGCTGGTGAATAAGATGGAGGCGGATGCACCATAATGTTTTTATGAGCCTGCTTTTCTGTTGGTGGCACTTGACAGCAGCATTCACCATTTTTTTTTTAATCACATCTTGTAAAGACACTCAGCAAAGAGGATTTCCAGAAATCCTCTGCTTCAGAAAGTTACAAGAATGACGGGATAAGTATGTTTGAAGCAACTGAAAATATTTTGTGAAGTATTGATGGCAAATTGGTTTTTTTCATTAATACATGTTTGCTGTATATCTTTTACATTTATCTTAGGAAGTAGGTACATGCACATAATACATCTTGATTTTTTTTTATTTCTTTTCCCCACCCTACTCACTTCCTTTCCTCTGTCTCTACATCCTCTGACCCCATTTTCATTATTGCTATTATTAGTGTTAGTATTATTATTTTTAGTTCATATTTACGACAATTAATGTTTACATTCATTGTAGGCATTTGGATACGAGTACCTGCACATCTTAAATATTTTTACTTCTCCTTCCTCTCCCCCTTGGTCCTTTGGCCCCCTTTCCATTTGCAAAAGATCTGTCTCCCTGTTTCCTCTGTCGTTCCTTTGTTGTGCTCTTTATTTGTACTTTGCCTTACTCAAATGAGAGATGCTATATGCCTGCTGGCTTGAACCACTGGTGGTACATACAAGACCGTCCCATCGGGTGGTTCAGAGCCACCTGACAGCAAGACATAATGAATTATGGCCCTGTCATGAATATGTTAAGCTTGTGTGTTTCATTTATTTCATTGAACATTATGTTTTTCAGGTTTATCCATTTTCCTTCTTTATAGCTGAGTACATAACAGTATTCTATTATGTATAGATACCACATTTTCTTTATCCATTCATTCATTGATGAACATACAGGCTGCTTCTGGAATGTAGCTATTATGGATTGTGCTTCTATAGATATTGGTATCCGTGTATTGCTGTAATATGGTATCTTTATCTCTTTGGGGAAGATACCTAGAAGGGGAATGGCTGGGTCAAATGGAATCTAATTTTAGCTCTTTGAGAAATCTCCATACTGATTTCCACAATGGTTTATTAGTTTACATCCCCAATGTAGGAGGGTCCTTTGTTCACCACAGCCACACTAGCATTTGTTGTTATTTGATTTCTTGATGATTGTCATTCTTTCTGGTACAGTGTGAAACCTTAGAAGTAATGTGCATACCTCTCATGGCCAGAGATGTTGGATATTTTTTATGATAGTGAAAATATACTTTATTTTTAATATAATAGCTGCCAACAACATACTGGTGATGTTGGTGTTCCAGAGAGAGAAAAGAAAATACAAGCATTCTGATAAGCTTTCATTTGCCTATTCATGAAATTCTAAAGAAAATATTACAATTCTGTTCAACATTATGGCTTAGAAGTTGAATTTTTTGCCCATGACCAAAATATAATTTAGTTGCCCCAACACTGATAATTTGTAAAGGGAGGAACTTTTAAAAGCCTATAAATAAAATGAATGCTTCCTTCTCTTTGAATTAAACATTGATTATAACCAGTGTAAGAAATTGGTGAATCAATTAGCTTGATGAAATGTGTATCAAAATGTTCATGAAAAAATAATTTCTATTTTCTCTCATTTTTACTTTGTAGATATTTCCTAAATGGGATTTTTAAGTGCACAGAAATAAAAGCTATCTACATGCAATTCTGGAGAGATTCAAAACTCTACAGAAGTAAAAATGTCTAAATTCTAGTTAATCTACTTGTAAGACTAAATGTCAGTATGTTGGATATTTTTTCATGTTTATTGGCCATCTGTACTTCTTTCAAGAATTGTCTATTCATTTCACTTACTCATTTTAGACTGGGTCTTTTATTTGGGGAGGCCTAATTTTTTTAGTTCTTGTTATGTTCTAGATATTAGTCCTCTGTGAGGGAATAGCTGGAAAAAAATTTTTCCCATTCTGTAGGTTGTCTCTTCACTCTGCTGATCATTTCCTTTGCTGTGCAGGAGGCAAATTGTCTTTTACTGTAATTTTTTTTTTTTTACTTTGAACGTTCACAATACAGTTTGATCACTCCTTATGACTTTCTGTCAAGAGTAAAGAAATAGAAGTCACTAACTCTTCTATGGACTTGAATGTATGTAAGAAGTTAGGGTTTTGGAGGAATTCAGCAGAGGGGGGATTGGAGGAAGTGGATTTGGAGGGGATTTCAGGTATTGGTGGAAGGGTGATGGAAAGAAGTATTGTGGTCTGGGGCCTCCCTGGGCCACAGCAGAAGGTAGCAGCCTGTGCAGTTCCTACAGAACAGGACATGCTCTGCCAGGTGCACACACTGAGTGGACACACTAGACTGTCAGTGAGGGTGGCTTCTTCCTCTGGAAGAAGGAAGGCCAGGATCCAAAGGGATGGTGCACATCCTGGCCCAGTGCAAGGGTAGGAAGAGGGGAGCTGGAGGTGGGGAGAAATGAGACTTCAAGCTTCCCTTGGCCTCCCTAAAAAGAAAAGGTAGCCTGAGCAGAGGGAAGGGACCAGGATGCTCTGTGTCACAACCTCAGTCACAACAAGACTGGGTTTGGGCTGGCTTGGAACCTTTTGTGCAAAAAGTAGAATAGGGCTTTGAAAGAGCATGCAGTGTGGACTGAGACTTGGGCATTTTGTCCAGCTGTAGTGGTAGCTGGCCCTGCGAGAGTCAACCCTGTTAAGGCGTGGAGGTGTGAGACATGGGGGTGAGACACTGGCTTTTGGAGCAGGAGATCTTGGTCCCTTGAAAAAAAAAACAAAACAAAACACTTACCTTCTTCCTGCGTCCATTTACTTATTTCCTCAGGGTTAGCATAACAGCCGAGTGTGTGTCCTTCCTAACTCACTGTGGAATTCGGGACAAGAGTGTGGTTCAAGTCAGAAGGTCCTTTCCTCAAAAAGAAGCATTGCTCTTGTTACTTCTGCAGTTAATATTCTTACCGTGATTGCCATGCATGCCCTCTGAGCCTTGGAAAGGCAATTCTGGATTCTAGGGCCCAAAGGGGCATGTGACTCAACCAGGCCCAAGGGTCAGCCTCCCATTGAGGGAACATTTGCAAGTAGGCAGACAGGACACCCAGCTTCCTCTCACTCAGATTCCTCATGAAGGAATTGAATGGAGCGATGTCAGTGACCTTCACTTCACATACTTTATCCCTTTAGTCCTTTAAGCAATCCTGCAAGCAGTGTGTTATCCCAATTCTACACACCAAGAAACAGCCCAGCACGGTGACCAGAGCCATGCCATAGCTAGTGGCAAAACCCCAGGCTGCCTGGATCCCAGCTGAGCATTGATCCCTGCTTTTCCACCCCCAGCCAGAGCCAACCCTTGGCCACACAGAACTAGAGAGGGAGTCAGAGAAACTGGCCCAGTGGCTGGACTTGGTTGGGCTCAGTATTCTTTTTGCAGTTCACAAGCATGTGTTTAGAACAGCATATTCGCCTTGCTTACTTTTTTTTTCAAGGAGTATAGCTGTAAGCAGAAACAAGGTCGTGGATGCAAGGCAGGCAGGTCCTAAGGCGCTTCCTGCCCCACCTCTGCATTCAGACCTGGGTCCCCACCAGTGGCTGGAATTCAAGGCCAGATGCCAGCAAGCTTATGAGCATGACCCTTCCCGACCTCTGCATGCAAGGGAATGGGCATTCTTTCCCCCCAGCAAGATCCCCCCATCCCAGAATGGCTGCTGAAGGTGGCCCAAGAAGGGCATCTCCTTCTGGACAGTCTGGATTCTTCTTAAGGCCCAGGCTTGGGTGGTAAGGAAATTCTTAACTGGAATCTCAGATTTTGCATAAGACTTTACATAGAACCCAAAGTAAAACAAGCTACAAGGGAGCCACATTGGTTGGGGCACCATGCCCCATAGCCCTCACTTCCTGCACAGAACCAAAAGGCCCTGGAGGACCTTTCTTCCTACAGCAGGCCTTTGCTCCTCTCAGCCTTCTGCCCCCAAGGACTGATCTTCACACACATCGTGCTCCTACAGGCAGGGCTCACATTGCTCTTGGCACAGATTTAAAACTCCTCTTCCTGTCCTCAGAGGCTCTTTGAGGTTGGTTCCAGCCTACCTGTCTGGCCTAGCAGTTCTCTTCTCCAGCTCCAGCTCTCTGATCTGCACACCACCTTTTGCTTCTACCTCCTCTCCCTTGAATTTCCTCTTCATAGTCTAGCCAAAGGTTAGCCCCCACGTAAGTTTTTCTTGAGAAGCCCTCACTGCCTGCACCAGTTCTCCATGGTCTCCCTTTCTGAAGCCCTGCAGGTCCCATAGCCTATGCCCTGCAAAGAAGCACCTGATTCTTAGGTGGTATCATCTGCTTCCCTGATAATAATATGTGTCAACATGATGCCCTCATCTAGTTAACTAAAAAAGGAGGGAGGATAAGCTGCTGCTTTCTCTTGCAGCAGGGTCTAAATAACTGACTTGAAACTACTAAACTGTTTGAGTCATGACACATTCCTGGGGCTGTGGGAGCTCCTCCCTCTTGCTGAGGAAAATCAAGGCCCTACTGGGGATTGACCAGCATGGGAAAGAACCCTTAGGCTGAGGTTGGGTTGGGTCAGGTAGGGTAGGTCAAGCTTCCTGCAGGGCTTTCTCTTCTGGAGATTGTCCTTGAACATCTACACCTCTCTCTAATTCATGAAGATCCTGTCAGGGTGAGCAAGGCAGTAACCATGTGGCCTGGGCCTATCTTACAGGGATTTGAAACTGGACAACATCCTCCTAGATGCAGAAGGCCACTGCAAGCTGGCGGACTTTGGGATGTGCAAGGAAGGGATTCTCAATGGTGTGACGACCACCACGTTCTGTGGGACCCCTGACTACATAGCTCCTGAGGTAAGAACCATGTGCAAAGGCCCACCTCCTGGTGCCAGGACTGAGGCAAGGGCCTAATCTTGTGCACTAGGGTGGTCTAGTGGTGCTTGGAGAATGTTCTAGAAAACGAGAATGAATTCCAGGATGGAGAAACAGGAAGGTGAAAGGTTTGCTGGTTTCTTCATAAGGATGTGGTAGTGATGGGATAAGGATGATAAACCAAGAATAACAGGTATCTCCCACATCTGGACAAATTCTCACTGAACATCACTCCCATCATAGGCCAGAATCACCAATACAACTAGGACTGGGAGAAATGTGTTGGCTGTGTCATTGTTTTCATTTCTTTATGATCAAAATAAAACACCATTGAAAATGGCAACCATTAGCTTTATTAGCTGTAATTTTCCTTCAGTGAAACCAGGAATTATTTGCTATTTCCAATGTGGAGGCAGTTCTACATAATGGGCATCAGGGTGGAACAAGAAGAGGGAGTTATAAACAGAGACTAGAGATGTTCATATTTATCCTCACTGAGTTATCTTGTGTGAAAGCTGTTGGGATAGTTTGCTCATCATGCATGAAGTGTTTGTCTTGAGACCCTCCAGGTCAGTCTTGCCTAAACCAAGAGATACCTACTGTGGATGAGTCAGACTTAAGCCATGGCCCTTCATAGCAGTTTAGTCAAAGTGATCTTCATGGATACAAGATTGGAAGGAAGTCCCAGTCCCATTAAGCACTGTCCATGGTGGAAAGGTATTAGCACATTCAGACTTCCATTTCCTGTAGGTGGGCATTGTTTGAGCACCTGCTAGACACAAAGTGGAGATATAGGTCCCTCTTCTTGAGGAATTTTTGGTCTAGGGGAAGTGACAGATAAGTGAACAGGTAATTAAGCATAATAACAATAAAACAAGTTGGTATCATCAGGGATCAGGGAAGGCTTCTTGGAACATCTGGAGGATGAATTGGTTGTAAAGAATAAAGATTTCCTTTGACCTAAGGGGGGGCACAGATGGGATTCCTGAAAATCACAAGGAGAATCAGAACAGGGTCTGAGTAGGGAAGGAGATTCAGTATCCCAGGGCTCTAAATATTTCCGAGACTGAATCTGTGTTTCTAATCTCGGCACTCCCAGGATCCAGCTCACAGATCAGGCTTTTAGTAGTGGTTTGTTGGATGGATGGATGGATGGATGAGAACTTGTGACGTTTTAACATAGCCATAATCAAGGGATGAAAACATCTTGACCTTTTGCAGGAAAGTTACATAGTGTAGCATAAACAGCTTCTTAGTGTTATAGTAATGAATGAGATTAGAATAAAGGACCCAGGAATGTGGCCTTGATCTTATAGGATCTCTGGCCCACTAGAACCTCCTTGAGGAGGACCCTCTTCAGATCTGTCCCAGGAAGAAGGCAGGCCACAAGAGTGCAGATATGAAGGCAAAAAGCAAGGGACACACAGTTGAGAGTCTTCACAAACCAGGCAACACACTGGGGCCCTGAACAGGGCTTGGGAGTAGGGATGGTGAATTGTAATAGGTAAATTCTCTTCAGAGCTTTTATCTTCTAAGGCATTTGAAAAGTAGCTGTTTCCCTGGTAGCTTGTTCCTTTGGCAGGAGCAGTAGAAATTCAGTCTTCAAAGAGAAATAAATGAAAGTGAGGACACTCCGCTGGGTCTCACTTTTCTCATCTTCTTCTTTTTTTCTGTGTCATGAGAACGCCCCATTCCTGTCCCTCTGTGAGTTGATGCCAGAGTCAGAGGGCTGACAGCCTGGGGCAGTAGTTACAGACCCTGCCCAAGACAAACATTCACTTCACAATGAACAGCACACCCACCAGCTTCCATGCAAGGAGGCCCTGAGGTCTGTTTATAGGGAGGCCCAGTCACTCTTCCTTCCTGCTCTGTCCTTCATGCCAGTGTGCAGAACTGGCAGGATACCATAAATGGCAAACCATCCCTGGTCTGGTGACAGGCAAGTGACTGCTGATAGAGTAAGGTATTGCTGCTTTTATCAAGGGCTGGTGGGAAAATGACATGAAAGGTGACCTCTGACATGCTTAGCACAGTGCTTGGCCCACAGTGAACACTGGCTTGATCGTTGTCCACAGTGTTGGGTTATATAATAGGGCAGGAGGACCAGTCCTGAGAAGGACGATTTGAGCAAGGCCAGACTTGACCAGAATGCCCCCAGGTGCCCTTGACGAGGTCATGATTCATTTTTGAGCTTCAGGTTCATTGTCTTTGCAATGGGAACCCTGGTGTCTGCCCTACCCATCTGGGCAAGCCACATTGAGAATCTAATGAGATTACACATGGGAATGCTGCAAGAGGCATAAGCCTCTGTTCAAACAGGAAAGGCTGACCCTGAAACCAGAGCCACCTTCTGAAGTACCAGCTCTGCCTAAGGATTCTCTTCCCACCTGTACCCTTGGTTGAACTCTCTGGCACCCCCTTCCCGTTCTCCACAGCGGCCCCTGCTCACTGGGAAATGGCCGCCAGCCGTGGGCTACACCTGGCGTCACCAAGCCCAACACCTGCCCCTGTCTCCTACCCCAGCTCTGACCCACTCAGGGTGTTGGCTGCCACACCAAGTACCCCCCACGGTATGCAAACCCTTCCCCTTTTCACCATCTCCATTGCTGACAAGGCAAGTAGGAAGCAAAGAGTTAGGGCCAAGCCTAAAAGGAATTTTACAAAAGGTGTTACCTGAAGCAGTTGGGCTCTGGAGGGGGACCAGAGAAGGGCCAGTGGGACCATTCTGTGGTTTCTGTAGCACCATCCAGGCCACCTGGAGGCCCTCTCATCATGCCACAGAGTTGCAGACCCCAGGTGTCAACCTTCCTGAGGCTACAGGGTGGCCTCTTAGCACCTAGAGTCCCCTGAGCCCAGGGGTTAGTAAGGATACCCAGTAAGATACACACAGTGGGGATACAAAATGGCTGGAGGCTGGCTGTCTGCAGGGTCAGGATGGGTTGCACGGTGATGGGCTTAGAAGAATGCTAGAGCCCTTACTCTGGTGCTTAAGTGATGCCCTAGGGAGAGAGCTGGGCAAAAAAAATAACTAAAATTCAGTGATATGTGTGATGTGCCTGCAAACCTTAGGACCAGGCATGGTCTTAGGATGTCAGAGGACAAGAGAAAGAGCTGGGGTGATCTGGGAGAGCTTTCTGAAGGAGATAGGCTGTGACCATGACCTCAAAGGACAGAAACTGGTGGTGCCAGGAAGACATGGTGAGCCAGCATAGGTGCTGCATCTTCCAAGACTGAGGGAGGAACCAGCTTTGGTTTTTGAACAGAGCAGACTTGCTGGCTCTTTAGGACAGTGGATCCCTTGTCTCCAGCTCCTAATAATATAGAGCTGGCTGCATTTTTCTCACATTTCTTTTTCAACTCCAAAAGGAGAAGTTTCCTAAACTATGCATGTTTTTAAAGGCTTCTGCCTAAGTGTCTCTGTTTACTCCCAAGCACTTGGGGATTGCTCTAGAAGGACATTTAGCAGTAGTCATACATGCATTTAACCTAAGTGACTCTGACTATACATTTGGCCAGAGGAAAAAAAGAGAGACAGAGCATTAGTAAGACCAGTAACTACTGTCAAAGACAAAATGCACCAGACAATCAAGGAGATAATGTGATTCTGGCTATGAGAGAAAGGAGCAATCATTCATGAGGTTGGCCTCAGAGAAGAGGAAGGTGCCTGAGGCTCTTAAAAGGCAGGTAAATGAGGGGTTCATGACTCTCACGGGACTCATAAGGACCAATTTCTGGGAATACACAAGAGCACAGGGCTGGGGATTTAGCTCAGAGGTTTCGCCGCCTACTGTGCAAGCACAAGAAGCTGAGTTCGATCCCCTGCTACCAAAAAAAAAAAAATGCACAGTGTTTCTTGGTGGGTAGAACACAAACAGGTTGGGGAGACCTCTTTTCTATAATTTCCTTCCCAAGGACCCAGGGCTTGGGTCAATTTAACATTGTCACCATTTAAGGAAGACTGCAGCCCTGGCCTCCCTTCCACTCTGGCAGTGAGCACCCTGTGGCTACCTGTGAGATAGGAGACCTAAACTTGCACTGGCTCGTGTCTCTCTGTCTGCTTCTTGCTTTCTTGACCCCGATTTTAGTGTCAAAATATGCAGTTTTTTAAAATGTGGCTCTAAATCCAAGTCAGAGACTTCTCTGGTACTCAGAGAAAGAAAAAAATCCATTTGTTCCCCCTGGAGGACAGATTGTAGACTTTGACTTTGGAGAGATGATAGTTGACTTCCAACAAAGTGTCTCCAAACTCACTTCTCACTGAATGTGCTGGTTTCAGCCCCTCTGCCCATTAGGTAACAGAACTCTGCTCCCGTGGGGGAGGGCAAGTTGGAAATGAAGATGCAGCATTCCTGGCAGGGCTGTTGCTATGGGGCAGTCTTTGGTGGGCCCTGATGTTGCCTGTTTCCTGAACAGATCCTACAGGAGCTGGAGTACGGCCCGTCGGTGGACTGGTGGGCCCTGGGGGTGCTGATGTACGAGATGATGGCTGGGCAGCCCCCCTTTGAGGCTGACAATGAGGACGACCTGTTTGAATCCATCCTCCATGATGATGTGCTCTACCCTGTCTGGCTCAGCAAGGAAGCTGTCAGCATCCTGAAAGCTGTGAGTCACTGCCCTTACCTGGGGCTTTGTTCCTCGGGACACACACACACACACACACACACACACAAACACACACTCCTTCCTCCCTCCTTCCTCTTTCCCCTACTGTCTCCCCCTTATTCTGTCTCCTTGAAAACTCAGAACTTGCTACCTTCCCTGTGCACCCTTACCCTGCTTTGTTCATTCCTAACAGCATTTTCCTCTTCTGACATCCTGTATAAGCTGTCTGTTATGTTTACTGCCTGTTTGCTTGCACAAGGAAGTTAGCTCCTGAGGGCAGGAACGTTGTCAGCTTGCTTTGCAGAGGCACCCCTGGGGGCCAAGAGCCTGGTATGCACAGGCGTTGCTAATGCATTTGCAGAAGCATGGGATGCGCAGCTTCCAGCAAGAGCACCTCAGTTCTGAGCACTTTTCACCACAGATGCAGTTAAAGGGCCCCAAGAGCCAAGGTGTGATGGGGCATGTGACCTGGACATGGGGTCAGTGTTCAGGACAGCCCATACCTGTCTCAGGGTGTCCACTCCTTGGGTGCAGCCAACTGTTACCCCACAGCAATGGGGACATCATCACCGTCCTGGCTTTCAAAAGGAAGCCTGAAACCTAGACCCGCATGTAAAATTTCCTGTATGGCAAATGATTATGACTAGTTCAATCAAAAGGACTATGGGGCCAATGCAGCCTCTCAGGGGGCACCCTTGGGTGCCAGTCTTTGATCCCTGCCCTTCCTGTTCCCTTGCTGGTATCACTCATCAGTGCCTGTGTGTCCTAAATGGACAAATTCCAACCACTGCCTTGCTCTTCCCCAGGACTGAGCCCTGTACCCTCCACCTCCAGCCCTGTAGCCTTCTACCCCTGTGCTCTCTCCAGCCTGGCTCTCCCGTCTATTCTCAATACCATGCCCTGCCCCAGTATCAGTCAGCCCTATAGCTCAGGAGTGTGTGTCTCAGCCACATACCTCCAGCACACTGTCCAGAGGCCCATATTCACTGTACCCCAAAACTGAACTCATAATCATCACATCAAGTCTGCTCCCAAGCTCCTAGGTTCAGTAACCCCTCCCCCAACCCCGCACAGGGGAAATGTGGACCCACTCCTTGACCTCATCTTCTCCCTCCACATTTAGTCAATCACAGAGTCCATCCTCCCTCTTAAATGTTCCCTTCTGATGGCTTTCTCCATCTTCCTGCCACCCCCCCCCCACTTGAGCTACCCCACATCTCTCTTGAGGGGCCACAGGATCTCCTTGTGGGGCCCCTCTTGCCTTCTCATCATCTCTGCACTTGGAGCATCCTCTGCCTCATGGCCTTTTTAAAACTCAGCCACAACCGTACACTGCAGTCAGAGAAAGATTTGTATCTTCAGTGTGGTCCAAGATCCCACGTGGGCCCCCTCTGCCACTCAGTGTTCCCTCCCTCGCTGGGCAGCCACACTCACCTGCACACAGGTTCTTCCCTGGAACTCTGCAACCTTCCCTGTCCCTGACTGCTCTCTGCCTGGCCCTCTGCCTGATCCTTCTCATGCCTCCTTCCAGTACCAGCCTCGGTGTTGCTTCTTTGGAGAATCTTTGCCAGCTTCCTTGCCCCAGAGAGACACCTCCCTATTACAGGCTCATAGACTGCTGGGTTTCTCTTGTGTCACTCATCTTGCATTAGTCACTTCCCTGTCCCTGGGACAGAATACCCAACACCCACTACATAAAGGAGGAGAGGCTCATTTTTGTTTTTCTGTTTTGTTTTGTTTTGTTTTGTTGCTCTATGTAAATATTTTATTTTATTATCTTTTTCATGAAGTTTATTGGTACATTTTAGGTATACAGTACAGATACATTTCATCATTGGGATCTTGTGCCTTTACATGATGTATCTTGATTCTTATTTTTTCCCCATTTCTCTGCCCACCCTTCCCTATTTACAAAGACTTTGCTTCAGTTTTTTTCCTTTTCTCATATTTTTTCTTTTCCCTTCTTTCCTTTCCCCTACCCCTCCCACTTCCCCTTCCCCTTTGCCCCTTTTCTTCCTATTTCACAATATCAATTATACATTTTGATCCTTATTTACACTTTTAGTTTTTCACCCCAGAGAAACTATTCAGTATTTACACATGTGTGTCCTATTTATTTCACTTAAGAGGATGGCCTCAGTGTGCATCCACTTATCTATAGATGCCTCTAATTTCTCATTCTTTATGGCTGAGTAGTACTCAATTTTATAGAAAAACCACATCTTCTTTATCCAATCTCCAGTTGATGGGCATTTGGGCTGTTTCCAAGTTTTAGCTCTTACAAACTGTGCTGCTATGAACATGGGTGCACATATATCTCTGTGGTATGCTTCTTTTAATTCTTTTGGGAAGATACCCACCAGGGGAATAGCTGGGTCAAATGGGACTTCCAGTCCTAGTTCTTTGAGGTATCTCCATACTGATTTCCACAGTGGTTGCATCAGTCTACACTCCCACCGGCAGTGGAGCAGGGTTCCTTTCTCCCCATAACCCCGCCAGCATTTGTTTTGATTTCTTGACAGCAGCCATTCTTTCTGGGGTGAGGTAGAATCTCAGCGTTGTTTTCATCTGCATCTCTCTCGAATGACCAGTGCTGTTGAACATTTTTTCTTATGTTTATTTGCTATTTCTACTTCTTTGTCTTAGAAATGTCTGTCCATTTCAGATGCCCATTTTTGAATTGGGTCTTTATATTCGGGGGGTCTGATTTTTTTTTTTGAGTTCTTTATATATTCTAGATAGTAGACCTTTGTCCAAGGAACAACTAGTAAAAATTTTTTCCCACATTGTAGGTTGTCTCTTAGCTCTTTTGGTGGTTTCTCGTGCAGTGCAGAAGCTTTTTAATAAGATGAGATCCCAATTGTTGATTCTTTTTTTTTATATTAATTGGTACATTTTAGGTATACAGTACATTTACATTTATCATAGGGTGTTTGTACCTGAACATGATGTATCTTAGTTCTTATTTTTCCCCCATTACCTATGCGTCCTTCACCCCTGCCACCCTTCCCTATTTACATAGACTTTGTTTCCATATTTTTTCTTTCTCATAATTTTTCCTTTCCTTTCTTCCCTTTCCCCCAATTGTTGATTCTTTGTGCTAGTTCCTGTGCTACTGAGGATTTGTTCATAAAGTCTTTTCCTATGCCACTGTCTTCAAGAGTTCTACCTAACTTATCTTCCAGCAAGTTTAGTGTTTGTCTTAATATTAAGATCCTTAATCCACTTCGATTTTAGTGCATGGTGAAAGATAGGGGTCTAGTTTTAATCTTTGGCAGGTTGAAATCCAGTTTTTCCAACACCATTTATTAAAGAGGCTATCTTTCCTCCAGTGAGGAAGAAGAGGCTTATTTTTGGTTCTGTTTCCATGGGTTCAGTCCATGGTCATCTGGGTTCCTGGGTTCAGATCGTCTGCCCTTTCCAAGGCAGAAAGAGCATGGCAGAAAAACATCGCAGAGGATTGCTGCCCAACACTTGACAGCCAGGAAACAGGGAGAGAAGGAAGGAACCTGAGGCAAGAGTAGACCCTTCCAGGTCAGGCCCCCAGTGGCTCACTTCCAGCCATCCCGCATCTCCTGTCAGCACATTCAGCTATGCACCCATCAGTGGATTAACCTGCTTATGATTATAGTGCCCCCATGATCCAGTCACCTTCCAAAAGCCCTACCTCTGAACACACGAGACTTGGGAAGGACATTTTAGACCTAACCCATAACACATCCCAAGCTCAATTAATTGATTGTTTGGGGAATTATCAGCACCTTTTCAACCTCCCGGACTCTTTGGCATGCTCTAGAAGGGCGAAGAATCCCTCCTGTCTCCACAGTGTCCCAGTCCTCATCACAGAGCGCAGTGCAGGACCAAGACTGACATGATCCTAGGAGGGTTCGAGGGGATAAGTTCTTGGTGTCCAAAGCCTGACACTGGCCAGCGCCTCCATGTTGATGCTCTCCAGGAAGGCTGAGTCTTGGCTGGGAAGGGCGCCCAGCACCATCCAGCAGGGAGGAATCTGCCTTAGGGGACTGAGTCACCCAACTTTTCACACTGAATTCTTTTCTCCTAGTTCATGTATTAAGACTTTACTTACTTCAATATTTTCTTGCTTTTTTGAATAGGTGATACATTCACATGGTTGATTGGTTGTTTGTTTGTTTCTTTGTTTTGAGACAGGGTCTCACTATGTAATTCAGGCTAGGTTTAAACTTGCTATGTAGCCCATGCTGGCTTCAAACTTGTTGCGATCATCCTGTCTCAGCCTCTCTAGTGCTGGGATTACAAAACTTTGCCACCACACCCGGCTCACATGGTCTTTAAAAAAGGAAAAACTATAAAAAAGGATACCTCAGAAGCTCTCTGTCCTATCATTGCTTTTTTATCTGTCCTTTCCTACCCCCTCAAGCCTGTGGGTAACTTTGTTTTATAGATTGTTTTTAGATATTTTTCCAGAACTTCTTTAGGTGTATATGAGCAATACAGATGTTGGTTGTTATTTTTACAAATGTTAAAAGACTCTACATATATCTTGTTTTCTCTGGATGGGGGATCTCAACAGTCAGCCCCTTTGTTCTGCCTGTCCTTTCACTTTGCAGCTGTGATTAGAAGCAGCTGCCACACAGGTCTCAGAGAGGGCTGTCCCTGGGTGATTGTCAGGGGTGGAGACAGGAACTTTCTCCTCCTCCATTTCACAGAGCCCCATCAGGCACCCAGGAGCAGCCTATAGCACCTGAGGAGCCAGGAGCCACATCTAGCTGAGCTGGCCACTGCCTGTGCCCTGACACCAGCTCAGCCACCTTCCTGTGTTCCCTGTGGACAACACAGAGCTGCAGTTCTTCACTGGGGGAGATTTTGCCCCCCACCCACCCACCCACCCACGCACTCATTTGGCAGTGTCTCCAGAAGTTTTCATTGACACAACTTGGCAGGGGGAGGGTTTGTACTTGTGTTCGAAGGGTAGAAGCCAAGGAAGTTGCCAAATAGCCCCCAGTGCGTGGGATGGTCCCCACAGCCGAGTGTCTGGTTGAAATGTCAGTAGCACTGAGATTGAGAAACTGACCGGAGAAGAGTCAGAAGTCAGAGGTCATGCTGTATTAGCTGGTTTGTGTCTGTGAGAAGGTGTGGCAGCTCTGGGGAGGCTTCCCAAGATGTTCCTCCCCGCCCAGTACACCCCACCCCTCCCACCCTAGGAGAGGGAGGCCAGAAGAGAGGAAGTGAGCAGGAGTCTTCTCCCCCCTTGGCCTTAGGACACTCTGCTTCCTCACATTGTCTCTTGATTCTAGAGCCAGAACAGATTTTCTATGACTCTGGGCATGAGCTGTCTGTCCCTGAGGACTGCTGCCTATGTGAAGGTGGCACTGAACTCTAGAGAAGGCTGTTTATATTGTAGAATTTTACAGTGTACAACCTATGCAACAGTAATTGTCCATCCCGCTGCCTCTCTTCTTCAGCACATTGCCTTCAGGCCCAGCCTTCAGCCTCCTACTCAGTCATTACAGTTTACTGAGTGCACAGTAAGAGGCAGGCACTAAGCCAGGTGCTAGACAGATTAGACTGAGTTCTAAATCATAGAGCTCACCTAGGGAAAGCAGTACTCAGATTAATTATAATTTATATAAACAGAAACATGAGGTCCAGGGTATCAACAGAGGAGAGGATCTGGGGAAGCTTCACAGAGGAGGCAACATTTTGAGTGGTTCTTAGAGAACCCTAGGACCTGGAGAGGGGCATTCAGCCCGAGGGATTAAAGTGGCAAAGGCCCAGTGAGATAGACAAGGTTCCAACTGCAAGGTCCTGTGAGGTAGGCTGAGAAGTGTAGCCCTCGTGGTGTGGGCCATCGAGGCTTTGGAGCAGGGGTGACCTCGCTGGTGGAAAGATTAGGAAAAGGAAAGGCATTGTTCCCATTCCAGTTTTAGTCCCCAGAGCCCCATCCTCTCTCCCTCTCCCCTAGCATTTAGCCCACCTGCTCCACTTTCCAGCCTCTCGGGCCAGGGATAGCAGGAGGAGCTCCCTTGCTGACGAATCCTGAAACTCAACCATTATAGACATATTCCTTTGGAGTGTTTTTTGTCCTGTCTAGTTCCTTTGTTTAGATACAGATGTGCAGCTTTAACCCTGTGAAGTGCCCACTTTGTCTCTGACACACACATATGCATACATATGCACAACATGTGTATGTACATGCATGCACAGCGTACACATGCCGGCATTCCAAATGGCTATCAGAAGTATTCCCACCTCTTAGCATTTTAGCTTACCTTATATTGATCTCAATGAAAGTGACTCATTTAATAAACTCCCCTGGGTGTGTGGGAGTTACAAGACACCACCAAAAAGTACAGGGCATGCCAGTGTGGTTTGATTAAAAAGTGAGGAGGGGCCGAGTCCAAGAAGAGGAGAGGGGAGGAAGTGTGTTTGAGTGTTTACCCGCTCGTGCATAACTAGTCTTTCCTCACCCCAAATGGACGTGTCCTCTCACTGTGAATGAGTTTGTCAGATCGTGAGGGCCTGGGACTCTGAAGGGGATCAGAGAGTTAATAAGAGCCTGCCACCGTAATCTCAACTTGGGACCTTGCTAGCTGTGTGACTGTGGCCCAGTTAATTAACCCCTCCCTGCCTCAGGTACCTACCTTGTGAAATAGAGCTTACTGGATGAGGAAGACAGAGGTGAACACCTCTCTGTGGTTAGGTGAGAAAGGCGGCTGGCGACCGCTGCACCTAGGTGAATGTTCACAAGTACCCTGAGAAGTAAGGGCCTGCACAGTTCAACAGCAGGCCTGGGAGGTGGCTGCGACGCTGCCAGGCTGACTCCGTCACCTGTGGGTGATTCTGTGCTATGTCCTCACCCCATAGTTCATGACCAAGAACCCGAACAAGCGCCTGGGCTGTGTGGCAGCACAGAATGGCGAGGACGCCATCAAGCAGCACCCCTTCTTCAAGGAGATCGACTGGGTGCTCTTGGAGCAGAAGAAGATCAAGCCGCCCTTCAAGCCGAGAATTGTAAGTCAAGCCCTGAGCCCCCCTGCCCACCCTGAGGGTTGGGCCAGCCACTTGCTTCTCCCTGCATGTGCCCCAGAAGTGAAGCATGTTTCGTGGCCCAGATGACATCAGCAGAGGTGGCGAAGACGCCCCCATGGCCAGTTTCTTATGCCAAAGTGTTGGCTGAAAGCACACAACCAATGGCAGGAGCCAGTGGCATCTTATGTGGCCACAGGCGAGCACCTCTTCCTTCAGTCCAGGTTTACGTTCTCCTTTGAATCAAACAATTCCAAGTGGTGCAAGCCTTCCGCATCCAGGGAAGATGTAAGATTTTCTTATAGATAGATGGGGCTGTTCCTAAAGGAGCCCATTTCAAGGAAAATCATTAACTAAATATGGGTCCTAGTCACCATGTGGCACTATCTCAAGCGTGCAGTCCAGGCTCCGACTGTCCAGTGGGAGCATGTGGGAGTCTCACCTGGAAGAGGTGACTTCCCAGGGCCATTTCAGATCGTCTTCTGCTCTCAGTCTGATGCAGGTGCGTGTGGTGCCTGTCACCAGCAGGTGGGAAAGGAGTATTTGGAGTTCAGAGGTTGGAGAGGAACTTGTCTCAGGAAACAAAGACCACATCTTGGTAGTAGCCTTCTGCTGGAGTGGAAAGGCCTGGCAGTGCACTTCAGGGTGGGAGGAAATGGTGCAGGGGGATCTTAATTCTTAATTTTTTAGCCCAGTGAGACCATCAGTCTTTCAGATGGAGAATGATAGCCAGCTGACCAGCTCTTGGAGCTGAATCGAGGACTATGACATAAGAGATTATTGGGCAGGAGCCCAGAGCTATGAGGCTGGGGTCCCAGGCAGGGAAGCCCCAAGATCATCCAGTCATGCCTGAGTTACCCACAGTCTGTCAGAGGAGGCCCCTTCCTACCACTCAGTACAGAGAAGGTGCCCTGTGGATCTGCAGAGAAGAATCCCATTCTACTTGAGCCATTATCAGTAGTGCTGCAGTTGCTAGAAGTGTTCCCTGAGGGTGACCCTCAGCTGACAGACACAGTTGAGCCTGGGTGCTTGATCCTGTCATCGTTCTTCAAATGTGTCCTCCTTTGGTTTGCATGGCTTTTGTGGGGGGAGCACATAACTTGGGACGGGCTAGAACTAGATTCATCTTTCTCTCCTGCACCCTGGACCTAACCACAGTGCCAGGTCCCTGTGCCAAGCCCATGCTGTGGGTTTGGTGGACTAGGAAAGTTTAGGGTGCAGGCTCCTCAGGATGACTCTTCCCCACTGCCACAGGGCTTCCTGCATGTGCCACCCTGCCTGATAGCTGGGAGCCTCCACAGGACAAGATTAACCAATCCCCCAACAAAATAGGGGAAGCATTCACCAGAGGCCTAGCAGAGGAGGAAAAAAAAGTAAAGGCTCAGACCTGAGGATGAATTTATATTAAATTTAATCTAAGTTAATCATCCCCAAGAAAATGGAAAGTAGACCTAAGTAAAGAGTTCAGGCTCACACAACAGAAACTCAGGATGAGATCAGAAGCTGAACAGATGTCACCACCGATCTGCAAAATGGCTAGACTCTAGGTTAACACAACCACTTTAACCAGGCTCAGGGAGCACCAGGTTCAGCTGAGCCAGACAGAGATGGAGGAGCAGCCCCTCTTGTGGGGTGTAGATTGCAGAGGTCAGGATTGAGGACATCGAGGGTGTGAGGGGGCACAGTAGCTGGTGTGGGAGTCTGCAGCAAGGTCTTCGGAGAGAAAGAAGGAGGGAAGAGCTTTATCCATAAAATCCGAAGGCCATTTTAATGTAGGGATTCATAGAGACAAGTCTCTCCCTGAGAGTAGTAGGTGACAGGATCTTAACTGTCAGAGGCCCCTCCTAGGTGTTCTTACTCAACCCCAGTGGAGGTGCACACACTGAGATTCAAACAGCACTGAGAGACTTCTGTCCTCAAACCCTTCACAAGGCCCCAGCAGTCCCAGGAGTTCCTCCCAGGGACTTGCGGCCTTTAGAGTAAGACATGTGCTCAGTGAGGGCATAGAACTCTGAGGAGTCACACTGCCCAGCCCCCCTCAATGAGGGAAATGAGGGGAAGGCTGTGAGGGGAAGGTGTGTGGGGACTGGGCATGAGGCTTGGGCAGAATTCAACACAGGAGAGAGGCCAAGAGTGAGGAGAGAACTGAGAGAAGGCGCACACCTCACCTGCGTGACAGTGTGGAGGCTTTGCCCTGCTCACACAGCCAGGAAGCTTCTTCCTGCTCCCCCTTGTGGTGTTGCTTCTGTGGGCAGGGATCTGAGGGGCCCCTGGGAGCCAGCAGGAGGAAGTAATTCCCTGGGCAGGGGTCCCAGGCCACTGGGACTTTCTGAGAGGATGGCAAAGAGAAAGGGCCTGTCCCATCCAGATGCTCCTAGCAGTCAGCTCCTAAAGATGGCCCTCACCATTGCCAGGGAAACTATCTTCCCACATCCCTGCTCTGCCCCTGAGACCTCAGGTTATCCTCAGCACTGGGGTGTGAGGGCCTCCAAGAAGAAGGCGTTATTAGGCTGATATGATTTCAGCTGGAGGAGAGAATTAGACATCTGGTAGCAGGGTGCATGAGACATTGTGCCGAGGGTGTTTCTGGTCACACTTGGCTGACACACATGGGTTCTCGCAGAGCACTCAGCTATAGGTCCTCAGAGCCTTGTTCAGTCTCCTTGAATACCTGATCATGTGCCTGTCCCCAGGACCTGAGCTTTCTCTCAAGAGAAAATCTAAGTTAGAAAAGAAAAGGGTAGCTCGTAGCTAGTTAGCTGTCCGGAGTGTGTCCTGACTGTGGCCCTAAGTGGAAGACTCTTTCTTGAAACAAGGAGCTGGCATCAGCCTGCATCACCTGTGGGCTGGAATTTGGCAGAAACAGATGTGAAGTTGATTTAAGCTACTCAGTGACTCAGAAAGCCCAGCAGAGCCAGTGTGAACATTCACACCAGGTTTATACAAGCCCCAACTCAGGGGTCCCTGGGTGTGTCCCCAGCTTGTATGGCACCAGTGAGGATACTTCTATGCTCCATAGGCAGGCGCAGCCTTACTGCAGACAGAATGGACTGCCACCCACAAGAGGTCACTGGGGAGGCACCGGGGAGTAAGGCAGGGCCCCACAGAAGTTGTCCTTCTACTCCTGGGACGGGAACTCCATCTCAAGCCTGGCTTTCTGCAGGCTGAAAGTGTCCTAGAACTTGAGTCCACGTCCGTTACCTTCTCAAGAGAGCTGGGGAAGAAAGGGCTTTGAAAGAGGGAGAAAGGTAAGCTAGCTCAGAGCCTGGCCCTGGCAAGGAACAGCCAGGGATGGTGTGAGGTTCTGGGATGCTGGGCCTCAGGGACAGACTCCAAGTCAAAGGAAAGACAGTGCAAGAAGGGAAGATCACATCTATAAACAGACATCACTAGCCCTGCAGTTGGAGGTGGCTGCAAGGAGATGTTGGGCGCGGGTTTAAAGAATCCAGGAAGGCAGGTGTACAGACACCCCCCATCTGAAGACTGAGCATCCCCCGGGTGAGGTGGTCAAGGACTGCAGCCCAGGAGGCAGCTCTAGGTATCCCCTGCCTGGGGCTAGCTCCTGAGCCATGTCCCTGTGACCTCACACCAGGATGCCACTGTCCCCAGAAACCTACTCAGTCTGTATTTCCCAGCCACTCAGCTACCTGTGCAGAGCCTGAGTCACCTGACGGGGGGATATCCTGTCAGTCTGGTTTAGGAAGGAATTGGTTTTAACAGGTGGCTTGTTTGGTGCTTCAAGTGAGGCCAGAGTGGTCATACTAGCCAGTCTCGGGCTTAGAAAGGCCAAGTCACAGCAACATGTTTTTCTACAGCCCCTGGCCCTGCCCTCCCACCACACACATGCACATAGACCCTGACTTCTCCCTGGTGGCTAATGCCCACAGGGCTGAGGATCTGTCAAGAGAACAGCTCTCGGGCCTGCCTCCCAACCCTTCTGCAGGACGCTCCTGCCCCTCTGAAGATAGGGGAAGTTGTCCAGGTTTGAGGCTAGAATTTGGCCTCTGGCCATGTTCCATCATATCTCAGCTGGCTGCTGTCCCTATGGGCTTTTGCCTTCCTGAGAAGTTTGCTAAGCTGAGATTTCTGCTTCTCTGGTGCACAGACCTCCCTGTGTAACCCCTGCCCTTATTTCCCCCTGCGTTTCCTGCCTTCAGGTTATCACCCTTTGTCCTAACCCCACCCAGCATACTTCTCAGTGACCTCTGCATCCGCATGGAGATTTCCCTCTCATTCGTCCTCCTCGTCCTCCTCGCTACTAGTTATATTCCTCCTGGCCACCCTGTGCCCACCCACACACCTGAACTGATTTTGTGTGAGTGAGGTGTCATCAGTACCTAACCAAAGACTTGGTGCCAACATTTACTCAAATCAGTGTTCTGGGAGTGGCTGGTTTCAGGGCAGGGGTGCACAGAGTGGGACATTTGATGGCATCACCTAGCAGTGTGGGGCGAGTGAATAGGAAAGCCAGCCAGGCTGCTGCCAAAGCCTTTGATACCAGAAAAAGTGTCCACACATGGGGCTGGGGATGTAGCTCAGAGGCACAGCGCCTGCCTGGCAACCTCAAGGTCCTGAGTTCGATCCCCAGTACCAAAAAAAAAAAAAAAAAATGTCCACACATGGAATCCACTGGTGTATCTGCTGGGGATTTTTTTCTGAAATGGTGGCATTATCTAATCACCAGTGAAAGTAGCACAGTCAGCTCTTGTGCTGTTGGTGGGCTTACTTTCTTTTGGGACAGTAGGGACAGAGTGACATGTTTGGTTGAAGAGATCGTCTGACCTTGCAGATCTGGGGGATATTCTGCTTGTTCCTGGCTTCCCTCTTGGATACCCATTCCTTGGCCCCTGGAGAACAGACTGTGAGACTAAGGCTTCCAGGGCTTCAGCACTGGAGCGGGGATCGCCAGTGTAGGAGGGAGAGCTCTGCCTCCCCAGAAACCAAGCTGTCCTCAGTGAGCACCAAAAGCAATGAGGGAAATGCTGGCCGAGTAAACTTCTCTTGTGTACGTGTTCTCTCTTTTCAAGTTTGCTTCAGTGTGAATGTCCCTCTTTAAGGTAAGGCTTCCAGAGTGGGGAGTCTCTCCAGGTAGGTGAGCCCACAGGCCTGGTGACATAGAAGCCCCTTTCAACCTCATGATCGTCTCCATCCAGCCATCCATGCTGCATGGCAGGACCCTGAGGGAGGCCCCTCCTGCATGCTCCTGCATGACCAGGCTGTGCTGAGAGAAAACCTGGGAAGTGGGCTCGTGACCCTCATACCCTCACTTACTGAGCGGCCGAGGAGGAGCCCAGCTGAGCTGGCAGCCCCAGGGACCCTGAGAGTGTGAGGCCAGGGGACCATTAGATGCCATTCTCATCCTCCATCCTGCTGGAGCAGGAGCAGGACTCACCAAGGACACCCCCCTGGACTGCATCCACACTGTGGTGAGAGCCCATACCCCGCTAGAGGCCATAGGCTCCCTCACAGAGTTAGGGCTCTCGCCCGGGGCTGGAAAGGTCCAAAAACCCAAGTTTAGTAGTTGGCTTAGGTGGTGGCATGGCACAGAGGACAGGGGACTGCCTTTGACTTCAGGGAGACCTGGATCGGAGTAAGACTGCTCTTACAGGACAGCCATGTGATCCTGAGGATTCACCTCCGACCTGGACCTCTGGCCTCCTTACCTGTGAAATGGGCTGAGAATACTTCCCTCACGGAGCTATAAACAGGGTGAATAACAAACCTGAGAAAGATGCTTTGTGCTCTGTACCTGCCTGGGAAACTGTAGAACCCCTCTCTCCCTTGGCCACCCCTTTCCTGAGCCCACACATCCCTCTACCACTCATCCCAATACTCTTAAGACACAGAGCTCAGAATCACAGCAGTGGTTGGTCTTTGGGCTCCAACTCAGGCAGGATTCAGTTTGGCCCATGGATCCTTGCAATGATCAGCACAGTGCCTGACATACATTGAGCACTTGGGATCACGAGAAGGCACCCGGAGTCTGAGGCTGGGGTAGGCGGCTGATATGGACCTCACTCCTGCTCCAGAGGGCTGGGGTGACAGGCATCTAGATGAGGAGGTTACACATCCAGCAGGGTGGCAGCCGTAAGCGGGAGGAAAGGCACATGGAGACCATGAGAAACATGGCTCAGAATTCTGTACAGAGCCTGTTTGGCCTAATCCTCTAAGACCACTGGGCTGAGTGGGGAGTACCTAGCAGGAGGCACAACAAGAGGCCAGCTCACCCCAGATGCCCGGCCCCAGCCTTTTTCCCCTTGAGATCATGTCCCAATTGTCTCCACAGTATCAGTGTCCTCCTTTTAGTCTACAGATTGTTCGGTGCCCAGCCCTGTGCTGGTGGTGGTCATCAATGAGATCCCTCACCAATACAGTAAGTTCCCAAATCCCACTAAGCTAAACAGCTATGCTGGGGCATCTTGGACTCTGCACAAGAGATTTGGCCATCTAAAAAGTCTTCGATAGCAGGAAATGGCCTGGGGGGGGGTGGCAACCCACCACCCACTACACCATGTTAATCCCTCCCTCACCCTAACTTCCACTCCAGGGAGAGTCAACCCATGGCTGGGCTGGCTTGGGCTTGGTTGATCATCTCTGTATGTTCCTTAGTTTTCCTTTATGACTCAATGGTTGTTAGATTGCCCTATGCCTTCAGAGGTTCATCAAAGTGATGTTTATTGAACATCTCCTCCTAGTCCCTCTGGTGCTTGAAGTAACACACATGGCCTACCTGGGAGCCCAGAAGGATTTGCTAGGCTCTGTGTGACGGAAGGAAAGAGAAGCAGGAGAAATCAGGACGGTTTCCCAGGGGGTGCTGAATCCACAGAGAAAAATGGGTAGGGCTATGGGGAAAGACATCCACAGGCCACCTGTAGTCAAAAGGGGTTTATTGAGATGTACTTGGCACATTTTTTGCAGCCCTGAAGGGGAAGATTGGCAAAAGCAGGGAAAGAACCCCCTGCCAACACCCTAATGGCACCAGCTTTGGAAGTTTAGGGGGTGGGAGAAAACTCTGTGATGTGAAATACTAAAGGAATAATGGGCAATAGGGTAAATTCTAGAACTTCACTAACAAAAATGTTTACTGGGGAAAGGAGTTTTGAGCCTTGCCTCTCACTGTTGGGGACAGAGGGTAAGAGATGCCATGAAGCAGGCCTCACCAAACAGGCTGAGAGTGAGGGCCTCTGTGGTCCCAGGAGCCTTGTCTAGCCACTCGCTCCTCACCCTGTGACTTGCAGAAGGTCCCATTGCAGTGGGGCCACATTGCTAGAGGAGCAGTGCCCTCCTGCAGTCTCATGGAGAGGACTAAAGGATGGAATGGCAGCCAGGAGTGCAGGACCATGCTCCTGTACTTGGAGGCCGGTTCAGGTCCATCAGAGTAGGAGGAGAAAGAACCCACACCTTCCCCAAGAAGGGGCTCCACCCTCCAGCCCATGAGCCCTAAAACCTGCATGTGCTCTTTGAAGTGTACAGGTGTGTTATACAATTCGACACACTGGCAGGGTCCCTGGGCCACATCCACCTCCAAGGCTAGGACTTTGAATGTCCAGGACCCATCTATCGTGGCAGAGAGGAGCTCCAAGGAATCCAGTTTTGCATTTGCGGGACCAGTGCCCTGTTTCTTTTCTTTGTGTCAGAGGCGGGGTGGTAGCAGAATTAGATTTAGACTAAACATTCAAGTATTTTTCTAGAATTCTGGCATTTGACAAATACACATTAGACTTGTGAAAGTTTGTTAAGGTTCTCCATGGACCTCTGTCTCTTCAAAGTGAGATGGCCTGGCTACACGAACACGGGCTATCTTCTCTCTGTGTTTTCCTAGCTACTCCTTCCTGGGACCTACTCCACTTTAAAAGAGATTTGTTGTTGTTGTTGTTGTTGTTGTTGTTGTTGTTGTTGTTTTCCTAGAGCACAGAGCTTGGATGTCAGTGGAATATTTCAGGTGTGTGAGCCCAGCTGAGTGTAGAGGAGGGTTGAGAACGTCTGGGCTGGTGACTTGCCCTCTGTAGGGCATGGAAAGATAAGCTCTGGAGAGTGGGGCCTTATTGGGTAAGATGACTTAGAAAATAAATCAGACCTGGGGACTTTGACCAGCGTCTCTGCTAGTGTTTGGCAGCAATGGGATTTGCAGTCTTTCTGGGGAGTCATGACAGACTTGGGTCACAGTTACCGGGGGTGTATAGGTGTTCCACCAAATGATTCAGAATAGTCACCCCAAAATAGAGGACTCCAGAATTATGCACCCACCTTGTAAGCTAAAGAAGGAAGGCTACAGAAAGCTGGGTGCTGGGCCCTGCTGGCACTCTCTGTGCTGCCCAAGCCAGTCATGGGAGCGCCTACTCCCTTTTTATAAAATGAAGAATGTAAGTAATCCTTAAGGTATCTTCCAGCCCCTACCCTTCCATGTAAACATGCTTTATAAGAACAGGGACTTATGGGGTTTTTAAATCAATTTTAGTGCAACAAAATTTATATCGGCTACAATATACCCATTTAAAATGTATAATTTTTCTGTTTTGTTTGTTTGTTTGGTTGGTTTTTGGCCATGCTGTTTGTACTACCTCTGAGCTACACCCTCAGTCCCTAACATGAATCAGTGTATCCACCCCCACACTGAATACAAAGAACATCTCTGTCCTCCCCCAAAATTCCCTGGTCCCATGAGCCCCAAGCAACCTCATCTACTTTCTGTCACTGGTGATGAGATGTGGGTTTTTTCTAGAGTTTCACATAAATGGAGCCACATAGTGTTATTTTATGTCTGGCCTCTTTCATTCACTCAGCATCATGTTTTTGAGATGTGGGACTTTTCCAGAAAATCCAATCATATACTAAAGTAGAGAGAACCGCCCTCTAAATCCCTGTGTGCTCATCGCCCAAGATCAGCAGTTGGCACCATGTGGTTGTTCCATTAAGGGAGGGGCTCGCCTGCCTTGTGCGCAGGTATGTTCCCAGCACTTGGTACCCTTCCTGGCTCACGGCAGGTGTTCATCTACATTTGTGAATAAATGAATTCTCGAGATCTATAACATTTGTCTAGAAAATATTTCCCAGATCCATCTCTAAATTCTCTTCTCTCCTTTTATGGCCCCAGACTGATTCCAGTCTATGCCTGGAAATTTGGGGCAATTAGATCCTGCATTAGGAAACCTGAAATCACTGCTGAATGGTGAGAGAAGGTGGATGACCTCAACTTGACACGAGAGGCGCATATTCGAATGTTTGCAATTCCTGTTTTAAAGCCAGCAGGCAACACAATAATAAATCCCAGGCCAAGAGAACTGATCTCTATCTAGAACATTTTCATAAATAAGGCAAGCGGGGGCGGGGGGAGGGGCGGTTGGCTAGTGGAAGAATATGACCTTTGCCAGGACCATCCTGGAAATGTCTCCTTTGGCTACCAAAAATATCCCTGGAATCGCTAGGCCCTAACAGCTATTAACAATGACACTACTTGAAAAGTGGATTCTAAGTGAAGAGGGGCTGCACCAGTAGAAGCAGAGTGAGGGCAGGGTGGCCACCGTTTGCCTGCCTGCTTGGAGCTGGAGACTCAGGCTCCCCAATGCACCCAGCTTGGATCCTGCTGCTGCATGTCCCCTTGCTCAGCAAGATCAGGCCCCAGGCAAGCCAAGTCAGGCAGGGGCTGCCTTCTCCTCCTAAGACTCTATTCCTGGATATCCATGCTGTGTTTCCTACATCATGTTTGGTCTTTGGACCCCCTGAGACCTGTTTGCCCTTTTTCAGGGTTCACCCAGTGTAGGTTGTCAGATCACTTTAATGAGTCAGATGCAGAAAAAAAAATGAATGAAGCACAGAATAGATGAGGAGAGAATAGAACAGGCAAGGAGAGGATAGAATGGGATGGGATTGAGTATTAGAGTGGAATACAGAACTTTTCCCAGGTAGTAAAGTAGAGTTTGCTGAGTTTTCTTGGGGGTGCTGACATGGGTTAATGTGCACTAGCTCATACATAAAATATATTTCTTACTTTTGTTCATAATATAGCATCTCTAAGGGCTATGCCCTGTTGCACCCCTGATGTCTAAGAAATGACCCC